AGCTTCCAGGTGTGCCAGGCCGGCGCCAGGCCGTCCTTGAGCACGGTCTCGTCGATCCAGGTCTTGACGATGCGCCGGCCCAGGCGCTCCTTGAGGCCCGCGACCAACGATCGCTGCTCGTCGCGCTCCGCGGCCGCGACGAGGCGCCGCCAGCTGTGCCAGGCCGGCGCCAGGCCGTCCCTCAAAATGGTCTCGTCGATCCAGGTCTTGACGATGCGCCGGCCCAGGCGGCTCCGGAGGTCGGCGATGGCCTCGCGCGCGTCGTCGCGCGAGGCCGCGGCCGCCGCGGCGCGCCAGGCCCGGAAGGCCTCGGCGACGCCGTCGCGCGCGATGATCTCGTGGAACCAGACCTTGAGCGCGCGCCGCCCCAGACGCTCCCGCATCGCCGCCAGGTCCTCGGCGTGGCGCCGCTGGGCCTCGTCGTGCGCGTCGCGCGCGCGCGCCAGCTCCGCGCCGTGGCTCGCGACGGCGTCCGCGTGGCGCTCGCGGGCCGCGCGCTCCCGGTCGTCGAGGGCGAGCCGGTGGCCCTCACGGGCGTCCTCGATGTCCCGCGCGTGCGACCGCGCCGCGTCCTCGAGCGTCGAACTCCGCTCCCGCGCGGCCGCTTCGAGCGCCTCCGCGTGGGCCCGCGCCTGGTCGACGAAGCGGCCGTCGCGCGTCCGCGCGATCCAGGCCCGCCAGGCCGGCGCCACCCCCCGCGCCTTGACGGTCTTCTCGAGCCACGTCGCGAGCGTCTTCCTCCGCGCGTCGTCCTTCAACTCGCGGACCTCGGCGACGGCCGCGGCCGTCGCCTCGCGCGCGGCCGCGACGCCGCCGCGCATGGACGCCGCCTCGATCTGGATGGCGCTCCGCGTCTCCGCGCGCGTGCGCTTCGCCTCCGCCGCCGCGGCCTCGAGCTTCGCCTCGAGCTCGACGGTCCGGGCCTCGGCGACGGTCGCGCGCCGTTTGGACGCGTCGACGCGGCGGTCGAAGGTCGCCTTGACGTGGCGGTTCTCGTCGCCGAGCGTCTTCGCCTGGCGCTCGAGGTCGACGACGCGGCGCCGCAGGTCCGCGGCGGCGGCCTCGGACGCGCGGAGGTCGCGCGCCGTCCGAGCGAGGCGGCCACGGACCGCGCGGACGTCCTCGAGCTGGGACACGTTGCCGCTGCCGCTGTAGACCGACGACGTCGGCGACGGCGGCGGCGTGCGGCGCGATGGCGACGGCGGCGGCGTCGAGCCGCGGCCCGTCGACGACGGCGACGGCGACCGGAACGATCGGATCGCGAGCGACGGCGCCGCGGCGCGCGCGCCGCCGGACAGGGACCGGCGCCGCGCGGCGGCCGGCGCGTCCGTCGCGTGGGCGGCGTGCATCTCGCGCCAGCGCCGCGCCGCCGGCGACGCGCCCGCGGCGACCTCGGCGGCGTGCGTCGTCGGTGCCCGCGCGGCCTCGGCGGGCAGCGCGGCCGGCCGCGGCGAGTCGCCGCGGCGCGGCGCCGGCGAGGCGCGCCGGAGCGCCGGCGTCGATGTCGACGACGCGCGGCGCACCGTCGCCTGGCGGAGGCGGACGCGGGCGGCGGCGCGCGCACGACGGTCGACGGCGGGCGCGGCACGGGCACGTCGGGCGCGGACACGAGCCGGCCGCGCACGAGGTCGACCATGTCCGCCTCGACCGCGACTCCCAGCGTCGCGGCGGCGCGCGCGACGGCCGCGTCGCGCGCCGCCGCCGCGGCGTCGTCGACGGGCGCGCCGCGCCGCGCGTGGACGTGGAGCGTCGCCAGGGCCAGCCGCCGCGCGTGGCGCGCGCCGGGGAGCGGCGCGCGGCCGCTCGACGCGTCGCAGCGCTCGAGGTCGTCGATCGCGGCCAGGAGCGGCTCCCGGGTCGCGCACGCGGCCGCGAGCTCCAGGGGCGTCTCGTCGTGGGCCGCGCCCGACGGCGGCGGCGAGTAGGCGAGGATGCCCGCCTTGACGGCGGCCCAGCGCCGCGCGGCGACGTCCGGGGCCTCGGGCGCGCCGCGGGAGACGTCGTCGTCGTTCTGGCAGACGTCGCCGATCGCGCGCTCGACCTCCGTCGCGGCCGCCGCGAGGGCCTGCGTCGTCTCCTCGTGGCGGTCCGACGTCGTCGGCGGCAGCGACGCGCCGCGCCGCCGCGTCTCGCGCTCCCGCGCGACGTGCTCCCGGAGCACCGCCACCCTCAACGCGTCCGCGGCCTTGCGGAGCGACCGGTCGCACGCGGCGCCCAGGTCGTGCTTCTTCGCGCGCTCCGCCAGGGCGCGGTGCTCGAAGTACTCGGCGCGGTCCGCCTCGACCTTGAGCTGGGCCTTCTGGCCGTCGAGGATGGACAGGCAGCGCGCCTCGAAGGCCTCGGCGTCGTCGTCGACCTCCAAGTCCCGCGCGCCGGGCCGCCGCTTCAGCTGCGCGAGCTTGGAGCAGCGCCGCTTCTCCGCGCGCAGCTCGCCGAGCATGCGCTTCGCGTCGTCGCGGCGGCCCGCGGCCTCGACGCGCGCCGCGTTCAGGCGCCTGAGCGCGTCGTCGCGCGCGGCGACGGCGTCGTCGCGCTCCCGCTTCAGCGCGTCGCGCTCGCCCCGGATCTCCCGCAGGGCCTCGACCTTCTGGGCCCGGGCGACGTCGAGCGCCTGGGAGCACTCGCGCGCCCGCGCCTCGGCGGCCTCGGCGCGCGTGTTCGCGCGCCGCAGGCTCCGGTGGAGCTCGTCGCGCTCCGCGGCGAACGCGTCCTTGACGTCCCGCTCCCGCCGGTCCTCGGCCCGGCCCCGCCGCGCCTCCTCGCGCGCGTCCTCGCCGCGCCGCGCCGCGTCGCGCCGGTCGCGCGTCCGCGCCTCGCGCTCCTGGCGGTAGGCCGCCGCGACCGCTTTCGCGAGGAGCTCCTCGAGCTTCTCGCGGTCCGCGGAGGAGCAGCCCGACGCCGAGTGGCGCGCCCAGCCCGCGAGGTGCACGAGCGCGCTCGTGTGCGCGAAGTCGGGCCCGAGGCCGGCGTGGATGGCCTGCACGCGCAACCGCCGGAAGGCGCGCCGCAGCTTGCGCTTGCCCACGATCGACAGGCGCCTCAGAGCGTCGCCGTGGCGCAGGTCCCGGTGCGCCTCGCGGCCCCGCGGGCCCAGGCTCTCGAAGCCCGGCTGGGCGGCGTCGCGCCGCGCCGCCGGCGGCGCCATCGGCGGTTGGGGCCAAAACCCAACCGCGCTTCCACAACCGACGGCGGTGAGGGCTGCCCGCGTGTAAAATTGAATCGTCCCGACTTTTATTTATCCCTAACTACTTCAAGTTGCACGGCAGTATCTCGCCAAATTACCTCTCCGACGCAATGAGCGCGCAAGCAGAGGCCTCGGCCGAGGCCGCCACCGTCGCCGGCGATGACGCGGACCACGACTCGGACTCGTCGGACAGCGTGCTGACGACGGCGGAGCGCGAGGAGCGCGAGGCCGCGGCGACGCGGCGCCGCGACGAGTGGCTCGCGCAGCCGAAGCTCATGGTCGGCCGCAAGGATCCGGCGCTCTTCCCCGCGCCGGCGCCGGCGCCGGAGGACGACGCGGACTCCGGCGGCACCTACGACTACGCGGCGTCGGGCGCCCTGCGCTGCGGCGCGCTCGCGGGGCACTGGGCCGCGGTCTGCGCGGGCGGCCTCTACGAGGGCATGCCCAAGGCCAACACGCACCGCGTGGCCGTGCGCCCGCGGTTCCTCGGCGCGGCCCAGGCCGTCTTTCTCGTGGCCGACGGCGGCCGCTCCGCGGGCGGCGACGCGCGCGCGGCCAAGGCCGCCGCGGAGCTCGGGCACCAGCTCGAGCGGGCCTGCCGCGGCGACCCGGTCGTCACGAAGGCCGTCCTGGAGACCGCGCTGAAGCGCGGCGCCCTGGGCCTGAATCTCGTGCGACCCACGGTCGTCGTGCTCCGCGACGACGTCGCGCTCGTCGCGAACTGCGGCCGGACCCGCGTCGCCGCGGCGTTCGACGGCTTCACGTTCCGGACGGCGCCGCGCGAGGAGCACGAGCTGAGTTCCAAGGGCGACCGGGCGCTCGTCGTCGACGAGATCGCGCTGCCCGCGGCGTCCGTGACGCGCGCGGCCTTCGCCGTCGCGTCCTACGCCGTCGCGACGCACGGCGACGCGGACGCGCTCGCCGCGGCCGCCGCGGCCGCGGCGTCCGGCGACGCGCTCGAGGACGCCGCGCGCGCGGCGGCCGAGGCGGCGGAGCGCGCGGCCTGGGACGACAAGGGCGACAACAGCTTCATCGACGACATGAGCGTCGTGCTGATCTCGGTGGCGCGCGGCGAGGTCCCTAACGCGACTTAGCGCTTCTTAGTCCGCCACGCTTCCGGGCTCGCGGGCGGCGGCGGCGGGCGGCGGCGCGTCGTGAAGACGTCGACGCCGAGCGCGTCGGCCATGGCGCGCGCGGACCGCGCGGCGCCGACGAAGGCGAGCCCCGCGGCGGCGAGCGCGACGCGCCACCGCGCCCGCTCCGGCGCCGCCGGGAGCGCGAGGAGCAACACCGTCGGCGCCGTGAGCCACGCGCCCGGCGGCACGCCGACGCGCTGGTGCAGCAACCGGCGGCTCACGTCGCCGAAGGCCGCCGTCGCCGCGAGCACGAAGGGCGCGACGCCGCGGCCGCCGAGCGTCGCCACGTTGAACGCCGCGGCGCCGAGGAACGCGCCGAGCGCGAGGAACTGGGGCCGGAGGTGCGCCGGCTTGTCCGTCTTCGATACGGACGCGACGTACATGGCGCAGTTGGCCACGGAGCCGCCCGAGCCGGCGACGACGAAGAGCCAGCGCGGCGTCAGGCCCAGGGGCAGCGCGCGCCGGAAGAAGCGCGCGCCCCGCCACGCGCCGATGCCGAACGCCACTTGAATACCGCAGAGCATCTCCTGGATGTCGACCTCCTGGAAGTCCTGGCGGCCCTTGTGGATGAGGACCATGTTGCTCAGGTAGAAGCCCGCGCAGCTCGTGAGCACGGGGGTCCAGGTGCACCAGGAACTCGCCCCGAAGGCCGCCATGTCCATGGAAGACACGGTGATGAGCACGGTGGCCAGCGCGTCGACGCCGTGGTCCATGACCTCGCCGAGCGCCGACCCGCTCTTCGTCGCGCGCGCCTGCTTGCCGTCGGAGCCGTCCAGGGTCTGGTAGAGCCAGACGCTGGCGCCGCAGACGCCGTAGACCCAGCGCGGCGCCGCGCCGGCGAGGTCCGGCGACGTTCGGAGCACGAGCGCGGTCATGCCCGCGATGGCGCCCAGACCCGCGCAGGTGATGGCGTTCGGCGCCAGCCAGGCCGGGTAGACGTGGCCCGGGAGCCAGCCCCAGAAGTCGTCGAGGAAGAGCCGCTCGAAGAGCGACAGGTTCGGCGACCGGTACTTGTAGGTCTTCAGGCTCTCCGCCGTGGGCACGACGCCGAAGACCCAGTCCATGCCCGCCTTCGGGAGCGGGTTGAAGAGCCAGTCCATGAGAACTGCGCTTCGTCGCGTTGGCGCGCGCAGGGCAACGACGGCGGCACTAGGCGACTGCGGCCGACGCGTCGACGGCACTCGCTGGCATCAATGGCTTCTCAGGTCTGTGAAGCACACATCGGTGGTGCTTCACGTTGGCGGCTCTACACGATGTATCAAGGCGGCGCGGTTGCTAGCGCCATCGTTCTCGCATTAACAGAGCTCGTCGTCGCGCCGTGCGGCGCCACCTGCAGCCCGAGCTTAAGCATGGCCAAGGTCGTCGCCGGCGACGCCGAGGCCGGCGGCGGGTCGTCGTGGCCGTCGGTGCTCGAGCTCGAGGCGCTCATGGGCGAGCGGGAGATGGCGGCGCTGGAGGCGCTCGTCAAGGCCAAGGGCGGCTCCGGCGGCGTCGCGGGCCTCATGGCCATCCTGGGCACGCCGTCGAGCGGCCTCGACGGGTCCGACGTGGCCCAGCGGCGCGCCTTCTTCGGGAAGAACGCCTTCGACGCGAAGCCGCCGACGACCTACTTCGAGCTGTGGTGGGACGCGATGCACGACGGCGCGATCATCGTGCTCAGCATCATGGCCGCGCTGACGATTTTGGTCTGGATCTTCGTCGAGGGCGTCAACTGCAACAAGACGGGCTGGATGGAGCCGACGGCGCTCATGTTCTCCATCAACGCCATCACGCACACGACGGCGATCATCGACTACAAGAAGGAGCGCATGTTCGCGGCGCTGACGGCGCAGCTCGACGCGTCGAACAAGAAGTTCGTGCTCCGCGGCGGCGAGTCGCTGGAGCTCGCCGACGCGGACATCGTCGTCGGCGACGTCGTGACCTTCAACGCGCACAACGCGGCGACGATCCCCGCGGACGGCCTCCTCGTCGCGGGGAGCGGCTGCAAGATGGACGAGGCCGCGCTCAACGGCGAGCCCGAGCCCGCGGAGAAGACCGTCGAGGGCGCGCCCTTCATCCTCAGCGGCACGATCTGCTGCTCCGGCAGCGGGAAGCTGCTCGTGACGGCCGTGGGCACGCACTCCGTCTCGGGCAAGATCAAGGCCGCGGTCTACGGCGACGACGGCGACGACGACGGCGGCTCGCCGCTCTTCGACAAGCTCGACGCCATGTCCGTGCGCATCGGCAAGGCGGGCATGTTCGTCTCCGTGCTCGTCTTCTGCGTCATGTTCGTCCTCGGCATCCTCGTCAACGGCTCCGGCGCGAAGGACGTCATCCACTACGCGGTGCAGTCGATCACGATCCTCGCCGTCGCCGTGCCCGAGGGCCTGCCCCTGGCCGTCACGCTCAGCCTCGCCTTTAGTTCGTCGAAGATGATGAGCGACAACAACCTCGTCAAGGCGCTGAAGGCCTGCGAGACCATGGGCTCCGCGACGACGATCTGTTCGGACAAGACGGGCACGCTGACGGCGAACCGCATGACCGTGCGCGGCGCGTGCGTCGCGGGCTGCGTCCTGCCGGCCATCGACCCGCGGAGCGGCGACGCCGACGCGGCGAAGCCCGTCGGCGCACGGATCTTGGACGCGGCGCAGATCCCCGCGGCGCTCGCGGCCGAGCTCGGGACGCTCGTCGCCGTCTGCACGATGGACGAGTCGTCCGTCGCGCCGCCCGAGGTCGCCGGCGGCCAGGCCGTCTTCAAGGGCAACCCGACGGAGTGCGCGTTGCTGGAGCTGGCGGCGGGGCTCGGCTGCGACTGGCGCGCGGTCCGCGAGTCGACGGCGGGCCGGTCCGAGGCGACGCGGGGCGAGGGCCACGCGTTCATGTTCTCGAGCGCGCGCAAGGTCATGGCCTGGGCCGTGCCCCGGGGCGACGGGTTCCGCGTCTACGTCAAGGGCGCCGCGGAGATCGTCCTGGCGCGCTGCGAGGCCGCGGCGACGGCGGAGGGGTCCGAGCCGCTCGACGACGAGCGCAAGGAGCGGTTCTACGTGCAGGGCGTCGTCAAGGACTTCGCCTCCGACGCCATGCGCACCATCGCCCTCGCCTACAAGGACATGCCCAAGCCCGAGTCCTGGGAGGCGACGAGCGCGGCGACGAAGAACGCGGACGGCACGGACGCGTTCGCGGCGGAGACGGGCCTCACGCTCCTCGCGGTCGTCGGCATCGAGGACCCGCTCCGCGACGAGGTGCCGCCGGCCATCGCGCGATGCTACAAGGCGGGCATCGACGTGCGCATGTGCACGGGCGACAACCTGGCGACGGCCGTCGCCATCGCGAGCCGCTGCGGCATCTTGAGGGACCACCACTACGTGAACATGAAGGCGTCCGGCGACGTGACGAAGCTGCTGCCGGACCGGGCGATGACGGGCCGCGAGTTCCGGCGGCGCGTCCACAAAACGGACGAGGCGACGGGCGAGCAGGTCTTCGTCCAGGCGGCCTTCGACGAGATCTGGCCGCGGCTCCGGGTCATGGCGCGCTGCTGTGTGGAATGCAACCGCTGGTTTGGGTGGTCCTGACCAAACTTGAGAATTCTCTAGCTCGGTCACATCGACGTCGATTCGGCTGATTTTTGGACGAATCGATGGCTCTCGTCGAGTTCTCGAAGCACAGCCGAAGAACTTGCGTCGAAACTGTCGCATATGCGCACATTGAAGTCGGGTTGAAGATTTGAATTCCACGCAGGCGCGCTGCGACCCCGAGGACAAGAACACGCTCGCGAACGGGCTCAACAAGTCGCTCCTCTTCCAGGACGCGGCGACGTGCCGCCGGCTGCGCGAGGAGGAGGACATCACGATCTTCCCGGACCGCCAGGTCGTCGCCATGACGGGCGACGGCACGAACGACGCGCCGGCGCTGAAGCGCGCGGACGTGGGCTTCGCGATGGGAATCTCGGGGACGCAGATCGCCAAGGACGCGGCGGACATCATCCTCTTGGACGACAACTTCGCGTCCATCGTCACGGCGGCCAAGTGGGGCCGCAACGTTTATGATTCCATCTGCAAATTTTTGCAGTTCCAGCTGACCGTGAACATCGCTGCGATCTGCGTCGCGGTCGTCGGCGCGTTCCGCTACCAGGAGTCGCCCATCGCCGCCGTGCAGATGCTCTGGATCAACCTCATCATGGACTCCCTCGCGTCCCTCGCCCTGGCGACGGAGCCGCCGGAGGAGAGCCTCCTCGACAAGCCGCCCGTGAACCGGTCCGACTCGATCATCTCGGAGCAGATGTGGTACAACATGTTCGGCCACGCGGCCTACCAGATCGTCGTCATGATGCTCCTCTACTTCGACCAGGGCGCGGCGCTCCTGCGGTGCGAGCCTGCGCACCGGCCCCACCATGGTGGCTGTGGTGGCGCGGACTTCTCGAAGCACCACAGCGCGCTCTTCAACTGCTTCGTCATGATGACGCTCTTCAACGAGATCAACTGCCGCAAGCTCCACGGCGAGACCAACGTCTTCGAGGGCGTGCTCAAGAACCCCTACTTTTGCTCCATCTGGGGCGTCACGATGCTCATCCAGGTCGTCGGCGTCCAGTGCGCGGGCGGGCTCCTGGCGGTGCACAAGGACGGCATCACGTCCTGGCAGTGGGTCGTCTGCAGGGCAGGACAAGAGAGCGAAATTCCCAACTTCAAAGGCTCCGATCTCGGCCGTTTTCCACTCGTTTCGGCTGATTTTTGGACGAGCGATCATCTCTCGGAGCGCTCTCGACGCGTCGGTGCTTTTCCCGGAACGCGCGCGCGCGGAACACTCACATTGAAGCGACGTTGAATCTCTCTTGTCCTGCCCAGGTCGTCTGCATCTTATTCGGCGCGGGCGAACTGCTCTGGCAGAAGGTCATCAACTTCGTGCTCCGGATCACGAAGGAGCGCGCCGCCGAGGGGCCCTCCGCGTTCCGCGAGGCGGGCCTGCTCAAGTTCGGCTCCGGGAAGATCGCGCTCCACGGCTCCGTCCGCGACAACACGCGGTCCATCACGTCCTCGCAGCGCTCGGCGCGGAGCACGTCCTCGCGGCGCCGCCGCCAGCAGAAGTACGCGGCCCAGCCCTCGGGCGGCTCGGAGAAGAGCCTCTCCACGTAAGTTACGTCCCGAGGAGGCGTCGTCGTCGGAAGAGCCACAGCGTGCCCTCGACGGGGCGGCCGTTCTCGCGCCGAGGCGTGAAGCGGGCCTTCGAGACGCGCGACCAGCCGACGGCGGCCGCGGCGCGGTCCACGTACGCGTCCCCGTGCGCGTAGCGGCCGCCGCCGGCGTTCGGGCCTTCCGGCGCGTCCTCCGCGGCTTCGTCGGTTTCCGTCGTGAACGCGACCAGGCCGTCGGGTTCCAAGACGCCCGCGAGCGTCTCGAACAAGCGCTCGAGGTCGCCGAAGTAGCAACATACGTCCGACGCGGCGACGACGTCGAAGCTTCGCGATCCAAAGGCGCGCGCGTCGACGAGGTCCCCGACGACGACCTCGTCGTAGACGGGGCGGCCCGCCGCGTCGCGCTTGTCCCGCGCGAGCTTCGCGATCTTCGAGGAGACGTCGACGCCGAAGAGCTCCGTCTCCCGGGACCGCCGCCGGAGCTCGGCGCCGAGGAGGCCGCTGCCGCAGCCCGCGTCGAGGATGCGGCCGTCGCGGCGCTGCGCCGAGATCAGGTCGGCGACGCGCGCGTGCGCGCAGTAGTTCAAGGTCTCCAGGAGCATGGGCTCGAACTGCCGCGCGTAGTCGTCGAAGAGCCGCGACACGAACTGCGGCGACGCGCGCCGCTCGACGCGGTGCGGGCACCAGGGCGCGCCGCTGTCGAAGCCCAGTAACTTGCACTCGGCGAAGGCGAGGGCGAGCGTTTTCGCGAGCGCTGCTTTGATGATGTCCTGCCGGGGCTGCTTTGCTTCTCGAACGAGCGCCAACGTTTGCTGGCCGAGGTATGCGCGCAACTTTTGCTGCTCGAGGTATGCGCGCAAATCTGGCAATGCGGGACTGCGAGACGTTGGCGAGCTGAACTGCGATCCCATTACTATTTTGCACGAGGCAGCAAACCCATCATGACACCGATCCGGCCGACCGTGCCCACTTGAAAAATGCATGGAGCAGTTTCGGGGGCAGCTCAGTCGAGCTCGAGCTCTCGATTCTGCCTCGTGTCTGCGATGCGCGTCGCCCTGGGCCTCCTCTCACTGGCCGCTCCGGCGGCCGCCGCGCATCCGTTCGCCCGCGAATCGCTGCGGCAGCAGGCGCTCGCCGACGCCTACGTCCCGGCGGCCGGAGGCTGCCCCTGCGCGAGCGCGGCCCTCTGCGAGCCCATCGGCGGCCCGCCCGTCGCCGCGAGGGAGGTCTTCGGCTTCGTCAGCGGCGCCACGGACCCGGCGGCCGTGAACTGGACGCACGTGACGACCGTGGCCTGGGGCGACGACGCGATGATGTGCGCCGCGCACGCGGCCGGCGCGCGCGTCGTCGCCGCCGCGCCCTCGATCAACCTCACGGCGCTCGAGGACCCGGCGGCGCGCGCCGCGTGGGTCGTCAGGGCCGTCGCGCTCGTCGAGGGCAGGTATGTCGACGGCATGACCTTTGATTACGAGAGCCCGCAGCCCTACGGGTCGCCGGCGATCGCGGCCTACGCGGCGCTCGTCGCCGCGACGCGACGAGCGTTACACGCGACGAACCCGAGCTACCAGGTGTCGACGTGCGTCGCTTCTACCCCCGACGACGTCGACGGCCGGGGCTACCCCATGAACGCCCTCGCGGACGCGAGCGACCTGCTCTACGTCATGGACTACGACACGCGGTCGCAGATCTTCGACGCGTGCATCGCCTCGGCGAACGCGCCGCTCCCGGGCACGGTCCACGGCATCGGCCGCTTCCGCGACCTGGGCATCCCCGCGTCCAAGCTCGTCCTCGGCGTGCCCTGGTACGGCTACCGCTACGAGTGCCTGCCCGGCGCGACGCTCGACGGGAGGTACTGCGACATCGAAAGCGTGCCGTTCCGCGGCGTCAACTGCTCCGACGCGGCCGGCTCCGAGGTCGACTACGCGAAGCTACGCGCCGTGGTCCGCAATGCCTCCGTCCAAACGTCCGCCGAACGTCGCGACGCGAACATGGACGCGCCCTTCTTCAACGCGCTCGAGCGCGGCGCCGTCGTCCAGTACTGGTACGACGACCCGGCGAGCCTCCGGGCCAAGTTTTCCTTCGCGCGCGGCGCCGGCCTGGCCGGCGTGGGGCCGTTCTGCTTCGGCATGCTCGCCGCCGGCGACCCGGGCGAGGCCGCCGCGATGTGGGCGTCGCTCGACGCGTTCGCCGCGTACGGTTGAATTCAACGTGCACTTCATCAAGTTTTGCCGCGAATCTGATAGAGGATGATCACCCGGCCGGCTAATAAGTACTCGAGCATGGCTAAGAGCTCGGTGCTCCAAGGGCCAGCGGCTAGGTGAGAATGGATGCAGCAGCGAATCCACTGTGCATCGCGCGCGCGAGGCTGCGCGCCTACCTGTGCGCGCGGCGCTTCGGTCTCTGGTGCAACACCTTCGCCTGGGTCTGGCGCAAGGCGCCGTGGCTGCTCGTCGCGTGGGTCGTCGCGTCGCGCGCGCGGAGCCGAGTGACGGCGCGGCACCAAGCCACCAGCAGCTACGAAACGCTGCAATCGGCGGCGCTGCGCGCCACGATCGCGAGCGTCGAGGACCGCACGGCCGTCGGCTCCGGGCTCACGGTCAAGTACCTCGTGACGTTCGACGGCGGCGAGCGCGCGCTCTTCAAGCCGCTGCGGTCGGCGTTCACGCGCGTCGGCCGCAAGGGCGAGAGCCCTCACCTCGAGGAGCCCCTCGGCGAGGTCGCGGCGAGCGCCGTCGCGGCCGCGCTCGGCGTCGCCGGCGCGCCGCCGTCGATCCTCGCGTCGCTGCCCGCGGAGCTCCTCGCGAACGCGACGCTGCCGTCGTCCGCGGGCGCCCTCGCGAGCCGCTGCCCGCGCTACGTCTCGCCGCGCGCGCTCGAAGCCCTCGGCGCGGCGCCCGCGGCGCTCGCCGGCTGCGCGCCCGCGGCCCCCGAGCCCCGCGGCGACGCGCGGCGCGTGCCGGGCGTCCTCGTGCGCTGGGAGCCCCGGGGGCTCGACCGCCTGCCGGCGCCGGCGCGCTGGTACCTGCGGCTCCAGGGGCCGCTCTGCGCCGGCGCGCGGCGCGCGCTCTGCCCGCTGCGCGCGCGCGAGCGCCGCGCGTGGAGCGACCTCGAGGCGCTCGACGCGGTCCTCGGCAACTACGACCGGCCGAACAACGTGTTCCTCCGCGGCGGCGCGCTCGCGCCCCTGGACCACAACCACGTCCTCATGAACCTCACGCGCGCGAGGGCCAGCTGGCGCTGGTGCGACCCGAGCCCGCGCGTCGCCGCGGCCGTCGCCGCCGCGGCCGCGCGGCGGCTCCCGCCGCCGGACGTGCCCTGCCCGGACTTCGACGGCACGCTGCTCGCGACCTTCCGGTGCACGCTCCGCGCGAGCGCCGCGGACGACGACCTCGCGCGGCGCACGGCGCGCGGCGGCGACGTCCGCAAGTTCCGCCACCTCGACACCAACGCCGCGGCCTACGAGGCCCACCTCGCGTCGTGCGGCGTAACTCGATGACGCTCGACGGAGTCCCCACGAGATCTGGGGATCGACAGCTTCAACATTGCTGCTTCATCACCGTTGTTGAGTTTCCAAAGGCTGCCCGCCGGACACGATGGCGCGTGCCGGCTAGCAAGCGGACAGTTGCAAGCGATGGCTCGCGCCGCGCTGTGGCTCGCGGCGCTGGCGGCCGCGGCGTGCGGCGAGCACGGCGAGAACGCGACGGAGCGCCGGCGCCTCCTGTCGAACCACTTCGACGCCAAAAACGACAAGAAGAAGATCCTCTCGACGCTGCTGCGGCTGCACCGCGCGCGCGTGACGCCCGTCGACTACCGGTGGCACAACAACCGCACGGTCCACTGCCGCGACGAGTCCGAGATCGCCGCCGCGGCCGTCCGGGACGGCGTCGACCCCTCGATCGTCTCCCGCTGCTACCCCGTCGACGTCTGCGACCGCTACTTCACGTCCATCGTCGAAGGCGGCACGACCTGGTTCTTCGCGCGCGCGGACACCGTGCACGACACGGGCACCGTCGACGGCGCGGCGAGCTTCTTCCTCTCCGGCGTCGGGCCGGGGCGCGGCGAGCGGCCGAAGCTGCTCTTCGAGGCCAGCGACGTCGCGCACAACACGGCCGCGCTGCAGTGGCCGGGGTCGACGAGCGTGCTCCTCCTGGGCGGCCGGTCCGCGCGGCCGGGGCTCTACGACGGCACGCACGGCGGCGTCTTTGCGTACGCGCTGGACTCGCTGCGGCCGAACCCGCGGATCCGGCCCCTCTTCGGCGCCGCGCCCGTCTTCGACGGCGGCCCGGGCATCCCCGGCTGCGTCGACAGGCACGCGTCGCTGCCGGGCGCGGAGGCGGGCTGGTGCGAGTTCGACGGGCGCCTGTCGATCGCCGTCTTCAAAGGCCGCCTCCACGTCTTCGCCCGGGCGAACCTGGAGCCGCTCCCGGACGCGACGGGCGTGCGCGCCGTGCAGTACACGAGCGTCGACGCGGGCGCGTTCCTCGCGGCGTCGCGGCGCGCGGACGCGGGCGCCGCGGCGTCGCTGCGCTGGAGGCCCTGGCGGCCCATGGTCGTGCCCGGCTACGACCGGGACGTCGGCAGCGTCTACTTCGCCTGCGTCGCGCCCCACCCGCTGCGGCCGGACGTGCTCGTGTCCCTCGCGCCCGTGTCCTACGTCAGCAAGGGCCCCGACAACCGCGCGGCCATCGCGGCGGCGTTCTCGCGCGACGGCGATTCGTGGACGCCCTACGTCGACCTCGTGCCCGTGGACCCGTCAGGCGTGCGCCAGACGGGCCACCCGGCCTGCGGCCTGCACCACCGCGACGGCGAGGTCTTCTTCTACGTCCAGCGCGACGTCGGGGGCATCGTCGCGAACGGACTCCGCAAGGAGGTCTTCTCGGGGCGCCTGACGCCGTCGTCGTCGCTGATCGAGGTCGGCATCGACGCGGCGATCTTCGACGAGATCACGCTCGAGGCGCTGCGGGCGCCGGGCGACGCGCCGCCCGAGGCGCCGACGACCGCGGCGACCGCGACGACGATCGCGCACCTCGCGGGCAACAAGCACGACGGCATCGCGGCCTGGCAGGACTGGGGCGGCCTGCCCTGCGGCCTCGCGCCGCCGAGCTGCGCCGGCGCCGCGCCCCGGGTCGCCTTCGTCGTCGCGGGCGCCGCGCGGGGTTTCCTCGAGCGGCCGGACGTGCAGCTGAGCTACCGCCGCCGCGTCGTCGACTCCATGGCCGCGGCGCCGGGCTCGGCCGTGTTTCTTTTTTTACGCGGCGACGAGGCGGCGGGGAGCGACGCGTGGCGGGCCATGGTCGCGCGGCTGCGGCCCGACGTGGCCGTCGCCGCGGATCTCGGGGACGCGGCCGCGCCGCCGTCGATGGTCGCCGGCTTCGCGGACTGCGTCGCGGGCACGTCCTTCGGCAAGCCCGAGTACGTCCAGCGCGCGCGGAACTGGTGGTCGTCCATGGCCGCGGCCTGGGCCCTCGTCGCGGCGAAGGAGGCGGCGGACGGCCGCTACGACGCCGTCGTCTTCTCGCGGCCCGACATCCTCTTCGGCGGCGACATGGGCCCCCACTGCGCCTACGACCGAAGCACCTGGTACTCGGGCGGCAAGGGGTCGCCGGACCACTTCTGGATTCTGCCGCGGGACGCGGCGGCGGACGTGCTCGGCGGGTCGCTGGACGCGTTCGAGACGTGCGCGGGCGCGGGCGCGCCCTGCTGCGCGCGGACGAGCCCGCTCGGCGGCAACATGTTCTCCTGGTACGTGACCGCCCTGTGGCGCCACAAATACGCGCTCTCGACGCGCCTCGTGGGCAACGGGTCCGTCGTCGGGTCGTCGTCGACGGGTGGCACGCATCTGGGGTGCGGCGCGCCGAACTGCGGGTCCATGTGCTAGCGTTTACGGAAGCTCCTGGAGGTACTGGCGGCTCGAGCCGGGGCAGGGCGGGTGGTGCCGCTCGCTCGCGTTCTGCAGCGCGTCGGACTTGGCCGCGCCGTCGACCTCGAAGAGGACGACGGACCGGCTGTCCGCGGCCGCGTCGACGACCGCGCGGTGGAGCGCGTTCGTGTCGAAGACGAAGCCCTGGCGGGTCCTTCCTCTCGAACGTGCTCGACCGCGTCGTCGACCGCCGGCGGCTCGCCGTCGTCGAGGACAACGTGCCGCTGCCCTGCGCGTACCGGTCCAACGGCTCGCTCGCGTCGAGCTTCTTCGTGGGCACGATGCGCAACCCCTGCGCGTTCTACGCGAGCCTGGCGCAGTACTACCCGGCGCAGGCCTTCAACGAGCCCTTCGGGGGCGCCTGGGCCGAGGGCGAAACCGTGCCCTTCCGGACCTTCAAGCCGGAGACGAACGACTCGCGGCGGACGTGGGCGCGGGAAGGCGAGCTCTTCGCGGGACCCGCCGCGGGGCCGGACCCGGCGGTGCTGCGGGACTACGTCGCCGCGACCCGGCGCGGCGGGCTGGGCTACTTCTCCTACCACATCTGGACGTCGTACCTGCGCCACGACTGCATCGACACGGACATGACGCGGACGGACCCGCGCGCGCGCCGCGCGAGCGACGCGTGCACGCCGGACGACTTCGCGCGCGAGATCGCGACGAAGCTCGACCCGGACGCGCTGGCGGACTGCTGGGTGCGGACGGAGACCTTGCTGGTCGACCTCGAGGCCTGCCCGCGGCGCTACGTCGCGCGCGCGCCCGCGGCGGCCGGCGACGTCGACTTGGCCGCCCTGGCGGCCCTCGCGTCGGAGACGAACGACGCCGCCGCCGTGGCCATGGGCCTCGACGACCGCAAGCGGCCGAACACGGGCCACGTCGACTGCGGCGCCTACGCGGGCGCGCTCGGCGGCGTCGTCCGGGCCGCGGACGCGCGGCTCTTCGACGCGTTCGGCTACGCGACGTGCTGCGGCGCGGCGAGTAAACGGGCGTATTAGCAGCAGTGGCGCAGGCAGCCGCTCAGGGCCCACCAGCGCCAGCCGTCGACGAAGGCCGGCGCGGGCTCGAGGCGCCGCCGCCGGTCGACGGACCGCCGCGCGGCGCGGAGCGCGAGTCCGCCGCCGCACCCCGTCAGGAGGCCGGCGACGAGGAGCAGCGCCGCCCCGTCCTCGAGGGACCCGGCGAGGTGGAAGCAGATCTCGTGGCTCTTCGCGGCGTCGAGCACCTTCTGGAGCTCCGCGCACTCCTGCGCGAACGCGTACTCGGCGAAGTTGCCGTACTCCG